TGGGGGAACCATTGGCAGAGGGTAGAGTGGTATCTCAGTTCACGAACTTAATTTTTTCCACAATTCTGGTTGCAGAATCCGTTCCACAGGTTCCACTGTATTTTATGTCTTCTAGATGCTCTTTTCCCCAGTGTAGACCTTCGCGTCGTGTGCCCATTGACCACATGACAAATAAAGATGGCAGAAAGCTGGATTTCCATGGACCAGCTGGTGAGCTGCTGTCACTAGGGCATCTACCCATGCCTATCTCAAGCCTCTAAAGAAAGTAGAAATGGCTGTGGATATAACTTAGCAGCACAGCACCTGCCTAGCAAGTGCAAGGTCCCGAGTGTGATTCCCGGTACCAAAAAAATAAAAACTAAAGACAGCAGAAGTTTGCCATCACCCTGTCAACTTGAAGGCTAGAAGTCAATGCAGCTTTCCCATACAAACCTCAAGAAGTCCATGGGATGTCACTATTCTCATACATAGCGGCTCTGAGTAAGGTAGCTGAGGGACACCACTCTTTGACACTGCAGAGTTGTGCCAGTGACAATGGCTGACACTTATTAAGTATTTACTATATACCGGTGTCTTAGCATCTTTTCTAGTTGCTGAGGCAAAATACTTGAGACCCCAGGATAAAGGGAGAAAGGTTTATTTAGCTGGAAGTTCATATAGGTTTCAGTCCATAATCGGCTAGGTCCAAGGCAAGGTGGCATATAGCAGAGGGACAACAGTTCATAGTGGCAGATGACACCAAAAGCAACAAGAGGAGGAGCCTCTTTCTGTCCCTTATGTTTTATGCTGGCTACGTACTGTATGCAGACGACCCACTCTAGGGCGAGTGTAGCACTCACATCCTTAAACCTAGCTTTGGATCATGAATCAATCACAAGCTCCACCCCCAGCACTGGATCTATCCCAGCACTGGATCATGAATCAATCACAAACTCCACCCCCATGACTGCAGGAGACTTTAGTGGGACATCTAGATGCAAACCATAACAACCAGACCCTCTATAAGAGTTTCGTATGTTAATCTCATAAAATCTTACTTATGACAGCATGATGGAAACTGAAATTATTTATCCACCTTTCACAGATGTGGCAGCTGAAGCAGAGAATGGCTAAAGAATTTTCCCAAGACCACACAGCTAATAACTGTTGTAGTAAGGATGCAGAACTGTGCCTCTAACTGCCAGGACCCTGCTCTTCATCACAGCGTTATGCTTTTTTACATGCAAAATAATAGTTTTATGAAATCACTGAGATTTATCTGAAACAAAACTAATTTTAAAAATTTGTTGCATTCTAATTTGTGACCCTGTTTCCTCTTAGAACAAACGTATTTACCAGAACAGATCGCTGATCTTGTGCTAAACATCAAAAGTAAATTACGGTTGTGTTTACAGGAGTTATTCTTACAAACAGATTTGGAAAGATTATTCTTACCAGTCTTTGAAATAGCTGCTTTAAATCTTTTTTGACACGAAGCAGAGCATAAATAACAACACAATAAAATGCATACTATTTTGCTTACTAAAACCACCAATGTCCCAAGCAACAAGAAAAAGATGACATATGCTCCAGACATTTCATATGGCTAACAATGAAAGAATAAAAGCCAACACAGGGCTAGCTTAAAGAACTTTTCTATCACTATTTTAGCTATAATAATTCCATGTAATATTAAGTGTTTAGTGCAAGGTGTGGTGGCACATGCCTGTAATCCCAGTACTCCGGAGGCTCAGGAGGCTGAGGCAGGAGGGTCACTGTGATTTCGAAGCCAGCCTGATTGTTATGGTTTGAGATTGAGTTCGAGGCCATGAGCAAGTTCAAGGGCAACCTGCACTACATAGCAAGACCCTGTCTCAAAAAAAAAAAAAAAGGTGTTTAGGCTGAGAAAAGTCTAGTGAGTTGTAGCATCAGTAATTCTATAGCTTTCTAGTAAAATACAGCAAGTAGAAGTACTGGGGGGAGGAATTGGTGAGGTCTATAGAAAAATGCTTCTGGGGGCAAATTCCCTTACATAACTACATGTTCTTGGCTGTGTAAATTGAGAACTCAGATTTCTCTTCTCAGATGTCCCCATTATAAACACTTAGGTCATGATTTTAGAAGCAGTGCAATTTACAAAGCCCAGTCCACACTGCACAGACTCAAATGCTACTTTGTTATTGTGACTATTTTATCTTTGCTAAACCATCATATCTATCTTTATAAGCACTTCATTAAGTATCATTCTAACTCAAAAAAAGAAAAATTCAGCATTAAAACAGCTAAGCAATTCAACAGCTCAGTATAATACATAAACTTTGTAATAAAGCAAAAATAGTCACTTGATTAGATTCCGTGATTTGATTACTGACATCATCTTTACTTGAATAGCACAAGATGTATAGAGGCTAACAATGGTTGGGAAAGCAGAAATATTTACTAGGAATGTTCGGAAGCAGTTTCCTTCTTTATTTATGCCAGCTTAATAACAGTTAAGTTGTGTACTTTCATCCAGAAAAAGCTTTTTCACATTTTTCTTGCAAGTTGGAGTTTATAGAAGTTATCTCATGGGTACATTTTATTGTTCCAGTTTAACCCACATCTGAAAAAGATCAGTGTTTTTTGACACCAAGTGCTACATCGTGCATTTGTTTAGAAAGAACCATGACATCGTAAAGATATTTTGAGGTAATACTAAAAGCTACAGTAAGTTCATACTTTCCCATATACACAAATTTGCATATATTTCCTTGGTTGGGTTTCTTCATCCATAGAAAAACCTTTTTAAAAGTCATTGAATTAAAGAAAACAATCTATTGGGTTACGTGGATCCAATTCCTCACTCCCCTATTTATAAACAAAGAATCAGATCCTGCCTGAGCAAATTTTCCTTTTCAGATTTTTGTTTCCATATTCTTCCTGTATTATTATTTTTTTATTTTAAAAATAAAAGGAGGAAAACATTAACAGACAGACAACCTTTTACAAATTAGCAAAAGAACAGTACAGACAATACAGTTACAAAGTGGTAGGAAATTAACATTCCTGTATTATTTTTTAGACACCTCTTTAAGCCATCATTTCATTACTGAAGTTAGAAAAGCACAATTTTCTCTGATACATTTTAATAGGAATTTGTAGGTGAATTGCAAGAAGTTTCACAGAAAAAAAAAAAAAAAAAAAAAAAACTTCATTTTCTTGTAGATTCTGCAAAAGGTTGGCAGTCAGTCTAGGGTACTATCTGTTTTTCACCCAGCACAAATAGAGAAAACTATTACCTACAAAGGTATTAGGAAGGTGGTCTCAGCTGAAAACATTTATCCAATCCCAATTGTTTGAAAGTTTGAAATACTAAGGATGATATTGTTCCAGGAGCTACTGTTTAAAACAATGCAATGCCTGTTCAAAGTGAAAACTTGGTATTTGAAAATCTGAGTTGGTTTAAAAAATAATAACTCTGCATCCAACAAAAAAAATTCCTAAAGAAGCATTTATACTCCAGGCACATGTTTTTAATTCTAATAGATTGGCTTACCTAAATAAGTATGTAGAACCTAGTAATTGTTCCTTATATGTTGATTTTTAAAATACTATTATATTTTAGTGGATTTGCAGAAAAGCTAATGAGTAATAATGCAGAAATACACATATCTGTCAGTACCAAGTTGTAGTGGTTTATGGGTATTGCAAAATGCCACACTAAACAAAATTTCTATTAAAAAGTAATTGAAAGTTTGGGTGTGGTGGCACGTACCTGTAACCCCAGCACTTGGGAGGCTGAGGCAGGAGGATCACTCCAAATTTGAAGCCAACCTGGGCTAAATAGTAAGTTCAAGGTCAGTCTAACTACATAACAAGACCATGTCTCAAAAAAAAAAAAAAAAAACCTCCAAAAAAAGTAATTTAAAACTGCTCTGTTTTTAAAAGAAATAAATGTAGCCATATCCTTCCAGGATAATGTCAGATAAAAAGTAATTGTGTTCCCTGTACAAATGTGTTTGATGCCATTTAGATGAGAATAATAAAGCTTTAAGGTCATTTTCACAGTTGTTCACTTAATGTAGGATTAACATCAACATCTTTGTAATTATCTGAGATGACCCATTTGAAAGTGGTATGCCAAGACATGTTCATGGCTAAAGCATCCTAGTTGTTTTAATACTAAATATTAATACACATGAAAGTAATAGTATAATTTGTGCACTAAATAATATTCCAGGACCATTCTCTTGATAGAGAATTCTTATGAAATAGTACCCTTTCTAGCTACTGCTTCCTATTTCTGGAAATACTAAGCAATCAGTCGGCTAGGAGAGATATACACAATGACTATGTAGACCTCAAATATTCTATGGCTTTGTTGTTGCACAATTTTTATGAAGTCATTATAAATGACACTGAGATTTGCTTTAGATGAGAAAAACAAAATATTACAATGGGAGGATGATACAGAATAGCAAAGATGCAATTCAAATTGGATTATAAGCCAAAATAATTCTAGGTATGAAAGCAATTATTTATTGGCCAGAATGGCTTTGAATTGAATTTATGACCATAAACAAACAAATGTAGATCTTCACCTTACACATTCTTAAAGAATAAAGAAGTGCGTTTTAACATGTACTCCAGAGTTTTTCTCACCAAAATATTTCTCTGCCCACCTCCTTCAGAAGCAGACATGAGAATGGTTTTTCATTTAGAAAAAAATATGAAATCCCCAAATGATCACCCAAGTCACGCCCATCTTTCTTGAGTCCATGTGAAAAGTGGACTTCACATCCAAGTCCTTATTATTTAATCATTCCTCTTACATATGATGTGGTCAGGGTGGGGTGTGAAACCTTGGAACTTAAAGGAAGGCAACAATGCAGATGTCTCTCCCAAAAGACAGAGAACATGTTAAAAGACAGTATCTTGTAACTTCAGCTGTGCTTGAAAATGGGAGTGGAGCTGCTGAAGATTTAAATCATGTTGTTTCCACTTATGCAGAGAGAATCCATAAAAAGAGATTTATTATCATATTTTCTTTTTGAAATGTATTTGCTTTTTACTTTAAAAGTGCTCCTCCATATAGAGCAGAGTAAATATTACAATTTTGTTAAACGGCGGCCAAGATTTAATGGTCTGTGAAATGTAAGGCTTAGGACCGGATTGGGGTTAACTACTGTTCTGCTGATACAAACTATGCTCGCCTGGGCGGTGACCCAGGCACCCAGAGGCTCATTTATGCAGAAGAGCTTCCCGGGAAGAACTCAAAGTAGGCTGGAGGCGGCCACGTCCCTGCAGGAGCCCGTCCACGGGTCTTGGGCTTGGTTTCTGCAGCAGATTTAAAGGGACTTTCTACAAAAAGTCAAACAAGCACGAGCAGCTATGGAAAATATAACAAATCATGCTAGCAGTTTAACACCAAGGGAGAAGGGAAGTGCAGTAACCGCTAACACACACTGAATAAAAATGTACCCAAGACAGAGAGGGGGCCAGGGAGCGCAGGACACAAAGGAAGCTGGTAAGGACGCAACGCTGTGTCCGAATGTGCATCACGCTCTTTATTGTCATCCGTGCCTCAGTGGCTCGGTCTGGAACTTGGAAAGTGTCTCCTTCAGCACGGCTCTGCGCGCCCGGCAGGAGAATCTGGAAAAGGCCCCCTCGCCCGCGCAGTCCCGACCCGTCCCCTCCGGCCGTGGCGGCTCTGCGGTCGCTCCCTGAGCCGCCCGGGGGGCCGAGGAGAAAGCGCACCCTCACCGAGTGGCCCCGGCGGCACCGCAGCCACAAGCCAGCCCGTAATTGCAAAGCAAACAAGACTGAAATACTGGATTGGTCTCCGTCGTGACAAGATCTGCGCTTTTGCCGCCAATTTGTTTGTGCAGCTCTATTTAAAGACGCTTTTGATTGAGGAAATGTTGAAAATAGCGGTGAGGGTTTCCCTAATGAGACCTCAAGAGGGAACCCGCGGCGGCCTTCGCCCAGCGCCAGGGGCTTCAAACTGAGGGCGCGAGAGGGGTGCGTTTAACCCCCTCCCGCCCGCGGAGGGAGAAAAGTCCTCGCGGACGCGCTGGGGAAACTGAGGTTCCACCCCTCCCGGAGCCGCGACCTGCCGAGAACTGTCTTCTGGATGTTGGGAACCGAGAGAGGGTTGGGGATGAAAATGAGAATTGAACCAGGATGGCAAGAGCGGTGGGGTGCAGGCTTAACTCGGGGTGGCGGCTCCGGCCAAGCCTCGTGCCCCCGATACCATCTTGGCGCTACCGCCGTCCCGCGACCCGCTGCCCAGCGCCCACTGTCCTGCGAGGGTCGAGGCCCCGGCGATCCCCGGGGGAGCCGCACTTTTGCGCCGCTCCAGGGACGGAGGCTGGATGGAGGAGTCGGCGACAGGAGACGCCCCTGGATGGGCGGCGCGGGAAGGCACACCTGGCGGGGCTGGCACCCATCGCTGTCAGGCTGGCTGGGTCTTCAGGCAGCTGGAAGGAAGGGAAAACCGAAAAGGCAGGAAAAGAAAATGCATGAATATTTAGGGCAGTCTGTGTATCAGGTGACTCACTGGACGGTGCCCTGATCCCTTTAATCTAGCCCAGGCACCCCAGGTCTGTGCTGTCTTCCCCGTCGTTCCCAGAGGGATCCTAAGCTTTACAGAGGTTGCACCAGCTCAGTGGAGAGCCAGTGAAGCCCTGCCCAGAGCTGGCTGCGGAGCTCCAGGTGCTGGGCATGGGTATCATCTGCGCCAGGCTGGAGGAGTAGGCCTGCTGCAGGCCCAGCTGATCAGGAGGAATCTTTCCCCAGTTCTTCCAAAGGCTAGGACGCAAAGATGTGCTCCTCATAAACAGCTTCCAACCCCATGTCTTGTCACTTTCAAAATAAAGAAAAACCAAGCCGATTGTGGTCGCAGCACTATACTGCATTTCTCTAAATCTCTTTTCCACAGACTGGTCAAGGTTTTGTTTTTTTTGTTTTGTTTTGTTTTGTTTTGTTTCTTGCTGCAATTTATTAATTGGGTTGTCAAGGAATCCACAGTAGAAGGAGGTAACAGATTGGTGCCCAGAGAACTACAAGGGGATACCAGTAAGAACTCGAGAGAGGAGCTCCTAAACAGGTCTAGGGCTGGGAGAGAAAGCGGTAGATAACCTAGAATGGCTTCCTTAGGCATTTAGCTTGGGCCTAGAAGCAATAAAGAGCTGTGAATTCTCCAACCCATGGGGGACGAGGACAGCGACAGGCTGTGCACCAGGGATGCCGACAGGTTAAGGAGTGCCAGACCCTCAACTGGGAATAAGGCAGGAGTCGCACTTTCACCACCTGTTACCATCTCTAACTGCAGGTTGATCAAGCCCTGAGCCAAAACTCCTTTTCTTTTAGGATTGAAAACGTAAGGCGTGGAGGCAACACTAAGGGTAATCTTTGATCTCTCTGGAGGGCGGTACTAAACGTAGGCCAGACCTGCTAAGAGCAGGGACAGGAAGATGGCACTAGGGGCGCTCTCACCAGAGGTCCTAACTACTAGAGCCCCACATTCCCGCGCTTTTCCCAGGAGGATGTGAACTGAGATGTACCTTGGCCAACATGAAGTTTCTTTCTGAAGTCACAAGCAGATGTGGACCAGGAAAGTGAAGACCCCAGGAGTATGGGGAGGAGTGCTTTCAGTTGTACTTTCCTAGCAATGAACTGCGCCTTCTGTCAGCAAAACCAAAAAAAGCATCAGTCACACCCAGTTAGTGAAGTCTCCAAATGTATTCTGAATGGAATTCTGCTTTTTCTGTATGCAACCAATTTCTTCGTTTGAAGTTGGATGCTTTGCAAGCAGGGTGCAATTTCATTTTTTTGTTCCTCGATGTTTTGGCCTGTGTTAACTTAAATGGGCACTCACACTGTATTAAAAAAGAAAACCATTCTCTTGTGGAAAGGGGAACAAAGTAGTGCTTCTCCAATCACAATACAGATATATAATCTGTAACAACAAATTAGCCCCCCTGGTGCTGCGCATTTCCACCAACCATCCTGCCTTCTCTGTTTATATTATAACTTTTCTGCCTGCACTTATTTTTATTTTAATTTTCTGTCACTTTAACAAAAACCAGAGCCTTTTCTTTTAATGTTTTGTACACAACATGTTCATTTTGATAAGATGTTCTTTCCTATCCTCTTTTAGCTTGCCTTTCCTTGTTTAGAGTTCTGTATCAGAAGTTTCTAATATTTCTCCCTCTCTTTTTTTTAAGAACTTGTCCCTGTCTTGCTTTATTTGTTTGTGTGAAATTTAGTTTGAAAGGAGATCAGAGAGAGCAGGAGGGGTTTGTAATAAGAGAATGACCGAATGACCCAAAGGCTGATTATCTATCATTAACTGGAGACTCGGTGTACCCAAATTACCAGGGAGACCTCAGTCTGCCGGATCCTTACCCAGCCAGAAAGGCTAGCATGGAATGCACACAGTGAAACTGGCTCATGGCATTGCAGATGAGGACACTCTGCTCACACACATTTTCTTAAGGAATTTTCCTTCAAAATTCAACTTGAGTTGAGTGGATAAATTTATTACCTTCTGAGACACTGTGCACAGGTTAAAAAAAAAGAAAGGAAAAAAAAAAAAAAAAAAACCTCCGCCAAAGACTAACCTTAACATTTTCGTAACTAAATTTTACATGTTCTTTCGTTAGGAGCAAAATTGCAGTTAATTGTCTAAGCTCCAGAGAATATTGAGAAATGAAGCTAAGCTGCTTTTGATCTGCTCATGCTGCTAAACCCAAGCCTTGTAAAAATGAGGTTTGCCATTAATATTGACAATAAAAGTGTTTCTTTTTGTTAACCTGAAACCTAACCACCCTGGCTTGAGTCCCTTGTCTATAACCAAAGACTCTAGAAGAATGTAGAAAAGGTTTGGAAGGAACTGTCAGAGCTAAAGAAATCAATCCATGTAAAGTTGCAAAGGAAACTATAGAACAGGATTTCCCAGGAATGTGAGCAACACCAAAGTTAGGACTGGCAATGCACTGGAGCCTCAAGTCACGAGCAAATCTTCCAGTCATCTACATGGTTTCTCCAAAGCCTCATATTTTAAATTGCCACTTCCATTCACATTTAATTCTGAACACCGGACTACATTGCGTGCTATAGTTGAACTACATTACTTACTCTCATTTCTTAGAGCAAAATATGCACTATAATGTTTATTTCCTCCTCTGAATTCTGCATGATTTCCTCCTAGCTTATGAGAAATATTTCTTTTTTAATATTTATTCATTATTTATTTTTAGCAATGCTGGGGAATGGAACCCAGGGCCTTAAACACGTGAGGCACATATTATAGCACTCAGCCATAGCTCCAGCCTTGAAAATATTTGTGTATTTAAAACAATAATGTGGATGAATATTTAACACAAATCCTGTAGGATGTATTTTGTGCCATTTCTGTTTAAAACTCTATATTTATTACAAAGTAGGGAAGATTAGATTTATCATTTCTCTTAGGACTAGTATACTAAAACTAAAAACAAGCACCATGTATATATGCTGCTTTTTGTAAGGCTATATTATGGCATTATCTTATGTTACCTTTAGCCTGTATGAGTACTTTAAGTTTTAGACTTGGGCACTTGTCAAAGTATTTCGTCCTTTCTTATCAATGAAAAGTCTCCAGAACAGCAGTACCTCTACCACTTAACATGAGGGTCATATAGTCATAGATTATTTAGAGAAAATGGAAATTCTACTGCTTGTAGTACTGAATATTAAGATTTTCTTAAAGGACTTAAGGATGAATCCATAGGTCATTCTTTCACAAAGTCACAGGTTCAGTGAAAGGAGAGAAAAAAAAAACACTTTCAAATCAAAACACTGATGGAAAGTGAATTATAAGGGAAGGAAAAAGCACAAGGAAAAAGGAGGGAAGGAAGGAACGGGGGAAAGGAGAGGAAAATGCACAGGCATTTTGCAGGTCCTGATTGTCTCTACTGATATATTTCCTAATCAGAACTGGACGGAAGGATTCATAAACACAACCTACCCTTCCACAGTCATCATTGCAGCTGGACCGGCCCCTCCCCCTCCATCTACACATCAGCTCTGTCTGGAGAACAGGGGGGAAGATGGCCCTCTCCCCAAAACCCCACCCCCACCCCCAATCGAAGAAGAAATAAAACCACATAAAAGTCTACGACAGCTTTTCATGCTCTTCATTTTTGAAATAGACATAAAAGCCCAATCGAACGCAATTCTACTTTGTAGATGTGTACTTTGAACTGTTATCACTTGTCCTGTCTGTAAACAACTATTTCCCAAAAGGAAAACAAAAAAGGGAGGTACTGCAAGATCACAGAAGGAGACCCTGGTCGCCACTTGGACGACACGCCTTGTTCTGGATGTCCTAAACATTCCGGGACAAGTGGCTAACGTGGAAGATGACTCAGTCCCACCCTAGTAGAGAAAAAAACACACTCATCAGTGTCACATGCAGCACTGTCCTTGGTACAGGTGGGGCTGAGGTTACACATTCAAGAACATGTTGCTTTATTCTGTCATCTTCTGGGTATGGTATTCTGCCTGGGGTTCTTAGCTTGTTCTGGAGCTCTCCTTTTTATGCTTATTTCAGACAATGCTCCAAACCATTTCCACTGCTTTGTTTAGGGAAACAAGGTAAAAAGAGGTTTGAAAGATGATGAAGGGAATTGAGCCATAATTCCTGTAAATATAAAATGTGTGTTTATGCCCTTCTGGCCTGGTTCTTTTCAGGTCCAGTTTATTTTGAGTTCTCATGAGCAAATCACAAGATACAAAATTGCCCCTGCCTTTGAAATAATAAATACCTCGAAAAGATCTGTATTTTCCCTAAAAACAGACTGAAGTTTAAAAAAAATATTTAGTTTAAACTAGATTGATTTTTAAAGTCATATCTCACAAGACCAAAAACGTTTGCAAGGCAATGCTCAGTTTTTCTCCTGCTCTTGAATATTTTCCAGGGAAAGTGGTAGGGGGAGTAAAGCAAAGACAAGAAACATGAGCACAAAGTAAATGTTTGAGCCGGGTTCCGTCTGTTTGGTGGGAGCAGCTGTAATGCACAGCCCAGTAGGGGCACCACCAACTACAAGGAAGACTTTGGACACAGACTCACAATCACTCCCCTGAACCCGGGCTGCCTCCCCGTGAAGCGAAGCATTCTTGTTCTCCAGACCGGGTGAGGTTCAGCCCTCAGCCTGGAAAAAGAGATTCGGTCTCTCGCTAAGATTCCCAGGATCCCCAGGGCCACCTCCGTCAGCATTATTGCAGTTCCCTGAGCCCTTTAGAATTGCAAATAGGTATCTTTTGGGGAGCAGTGTACCAGAGGCCACAGTAGCACAACCCAAAAGAGGGGTTCCTAAACTGATGTCACAGTTGAGCTCTATACCTGTCCTCCTGCTCTCCGTATGATCAGCACCCACCTCTCCTCCATCACCCCCAGTACCACTAACTCCATTAGTACCCCCGCTGCACACACAGGCCGTCTATTTGGGGACAAATTTCAGATGGCTCTTAGCCTCAAGCTTTCCAAAGCAGCAGGCAAATAAAGTGTCCCAGGATTCTTGGAGCAAAATGTGGCCAAAGGAGAGGACGAGCAGTATTTAGTTGTGCATTAAAGGGCAGGGCTCAGGTGGTCAAGGCCAGCTGGCTCCCTGAGTCAGTTACTACAGTTGGGGACATCACTAGAGTTCACTCATTTGTCCCCACTCTCCAAGCCATCTCCAGACCAGCTTTCTAAGGCTCTAGGCTCTGTGTTTGAATGCTGAGATACACAGTACTTTAGATTTCCTGGGTCATAGTAATTATCTGATAATGATGTTGTAAATGACCGCTGGAGCTCAGATTAGCATCTTTCACTCTGCCTCTGTCCCATGTTGTCTATTTCTTTTATTACTTGCAACGTTACCTGGGGCCATGAATGGATTCACTCATTTGTTTTTTGTTTCAAATTAAAAAGCATTAAAAACAAAAACTAAATGTAGCAAATTCCAATCCTTTACAAGGGAGGGTGGCTGGCAGCTTCTCAGGTCCCAGCCCAGCCTTCCTCTAGGTTCTTTTTCCTGCCTCCTCTCCCAAAAACTCCATTTCTGAAAGCAGAAATAATTTCCCCTAAAACTGCATCTGCCCTTGGAGCAACTGTCTTACCTAGTCTACCTGTTCTCAAGGCCTACATGTGTTTTTATAAACAGACATTTTAAAAATTACCAAATGTCAAAGAATTGAACTACTAGTATTTACACAGTCAGCTGGCCTCCTGGTAAAAATGTAAACAAAATCCGGGGCCACACTACCTCTACTCTTTCTCTGGTGAAGGAGCAATTCTCAAAAAGGCTCTGCTTGTGCCCCCAAACAGCAGATCCACCCAAGTTAGGAGTTTAGAACTAAGTAGCCGCTACTCTGTTCTGATAAAAAATAAAGCCCCTGGTGCCCCCTTTCAGCTACTCTTCATCCTGTTCTCTACCTTCAGGGCTCTGCTAGGGGCATCCAGGGAAACTGACCCTACCATGACTCCCCTACCACGGACACTCAAGCCATGTTTTTACCTCCCTGTCTATGAGTTCCCTTCTTTCTCTTACTGTGCAGCAGCAGCAAACCTGAAACCACATATATGTCTTGATTTGGCTCCCTCGGGCTCTGGGGATAGTGGCAACCTGGGCTAGGAGCCCACGGTAGCACCCTAGAGCAGCGGCCTTCATTCCCTCTTTCCTGGGTTTCCATCCTGAACCACTAAGAGCTGGCGGCAAGTGTCAGTGCATAAGAAAAGAACTGTCCTTGAAGAGTGCTTCAAGTGGCACTCCTTCTGCGGCCTCAGCTGACTCTTCTTGCCTCCAAAAAAACGAGGCCCAAAGTAGAGTCACAGGTACCCCTTGGGCTACCCTTGCCAGGTCCAAGCCCATCCGCCTGTGCCACCTTCTGCAAGCTCTGCCCAGGATTCCCTGTAATTTACAGCCTGCAGAGCTCCTGCGGACACTTTTCCCCAGGCAGAATCCCATAGACACATCAGCCTCTCCTTGCAGCTGAGACCAAATCGAGTGGGTGATTTCAGCCCCAACCACTGGCCACCCCATCCCTCCCTCTTGGGAACCATCCCCAGATGCTCTCGCCACGAGGGCGCCTTGGCCCCAGTGTCCAAAGCTTGGTGACTTACAAGTGGAGATCCACTTTCCGTTATAGTGCATTTAAGATCAGCAAGGCCAGCAGTCTAAACATCCACGAGCCGTCCTCCTGGCCTGCCTCTTAAACCGGCGTTTAATGGTTCCCCTCCGATAACTAAACCTGTTTTCCACAGATGCCCGCTTTTATGGGGGAGGCAGGAATGCAGAGATATATTTATATGTTTGTTCATAAAAACTGGAAAATAAGCTCTGAACACGCTGTAAAAAATATTCAGTTACTTACCAAACAGGCTAGTTAAACCAGAGGAACACGGATCCCGACCACACCAAAGATTGGGGGAATCGAGGTGCCCACACTTTGAAATCGTCCGAAGTCTGAAGTCTCCGTTGGGGCTGATGTCCCTGAAGAATGGGGGAAATAAGAGCATTTACAATCGGTTTGACCGACTGCCCAGGCATCTCAACCGTGATCTCCACAAGCTGTCGCAAAAACCTGAGCCACCCCAAAGAGCTCCGACCGAGGTAACGTGGTGATATAGCAAAGAGCCACCGAGACGCGTGTTCCCAGCTTGTGCCAGCTCAAAGGAGCTCCTTCCCCACGCGCGCCGGCCGCCTCTGCGAGGAGACCGCGCGGCCAGCAGCTGCCCTTTAAGGGGGTCCCACGCCCTCTTCGGGCTCTCGGCGCCCCGCACAAAACTGCACGCGGCTGCCTGGGGTCATTTTTCTGCCTCTATTACCTACAAAATGCTTTGAAAAGCAGCATCTGCGGGTTGTTTTATTTCCCCCCCCCCAACCAGAAAAGAAAGTAGAGTGATACTATACCTGGTCTAAGATTCTTCAATATTTGAGACCTGGGGTAAAATATTTTAATAGTGAAGCATCTGTTAAACACTTGCATTAACCTCTGGATGATAAAAAAAAAAAGTTTTTTTTTAACTCTGCCCCCCCTTGTTTTAATTATCTTATGGTTATGAGGGGACAGCCAATCCTGGAAGAGGACCTCGGCAATTAGCAAGGCTAACATCAAAAAGTTTTATTGCGGAGAGCTCAAGGCGCCGCCCCCGCCGCCCCGGGATTGGCGTGAGGAGCCTCTGACGACATATATTAACCCGAGCGGCCCTAAAGATGTAGCTGTACATGGAGCTCTTGCTGGGAAAATCCGCTTGCTCCCCTCAAGGCGTCCAGCCTAGGAGAGCCGTCGCCGCCACCGGGGAGCTGCTTCAGCCACCGCGCAGATCGGCCCGGGAGCCCAAGCCGCCGCCCCAGCGCGCCAAGGCGCTTCCAGGGCCCCACTTCCGCGCCCCCAGAGGAGAGGATCTGAGAACATGGATGCACTGAGACCTCTCTGAAAACCCTCCGAGAGAGACTGAGAGGAGCGAGGACACGTTACTCGCAGCTAACACTCATTCAAGGACCCAAACAACAACAGCTAAAAAAAATTTTTCATTAAAACAATAAGCGCCCAAGAACCCAGATCGGGCTGGTGGGGGAGGGGACGGGGCGGGAAGGGGAGGGTCGCACGGAGGTAGCTTTGCTGTGAGCAGCGGACCCCGCCGCCGCCCCGCAGAGCTGGGCCGCTCCTCCAGCCGCGGCTCGGACTCGCCCCCGGATTCCAGGTTAGCCTCGGTGCCAGGAGCGCGGCCCGCGCGCAGAGGACCGGGGCTCCGTGCAGCAGCCTCGCGGCGGCTCGGACACCTTTGCATGAGCACCAGAGGATTCAGCCTCCGCGCAGCAGCAGCCCGGGAAACAGGAGCAGGCGCGCGGGCTGCAGAGCGAGGCGGGAACCGGCGGCGAAGGCGGCGGCAGGCAGGGGCGCACGGTGCCGGGACCAGCTCGCCGCGCCCCATGGGGAG